AAGTAGTTGGTGGCATAACTTTCTCCTATTTCACTATCATCTACAACAGAAAGATTACAAACATTTGAGACTATACCCATATTCTTTAAGATGTAGTAATGAAACATGAATTTGTTCAATCCCTTTTTGCACTTACTGATACCAGCTGTGTCCATAAACCTCCTGTGGCAAAAACTCCCAAACATTCCATACCTGCTGCATAGTACAAGTATTGCCTTTTTCTAGCATTAAACTTATCTATTATTTTCAAGGAGGGCTCTGCTATTATTATGGGATTCAGTCAACAATAGTTGACAAAAGGCTTGGGCAGTTCATATCACATGTCCAGTGTAGCTCCCTAAATTATAAAATCCTGTTGCAAGAGAATTTCAGTCTGTGTCCCCATTTACCACCTGGGTAAGTCATCACTGTGTCACAAAGTTCTGACTGCATTCATGTGTTGCCTTTCCATCAATGGAACATGCAAACAGACTGTCTTGTGCCATCAGCCCAGTGCTAAAACCTCACATCTGTCACCTGTGTCATGAGCCTCCCTCCCCGTAGCTCTGAATGAACCTCAAACTCATCAGTCCAATGCCTGCTCTGGCTGGCAGAGACATATTGCTGGGATGTATAATGCAGGAGGCACAGATATAGAAATGGAGGGTGAACTCATTGCTACCTACCTCAGGAAAGGAAAACCTGTCGAGCAGAAGGTTTGCCTGAGCTATCACAGTCATTATTCAATGAGGTTTCTCCTGTCATGAAAGACATTTGGAAATAATATAGAGTTTCGTGTTTCAGCTTCCAGAACAATGTCAGAAACAAATGAAACCATTATTTCATAGACCTGCAACAAGCTGCAAATAGGCACATTTTAAAATACACTGGAAACCTAAGCAGGGGAAAATAAAAGGCAAAAAGAACAGTTTGAACACCTAATAGAGCAGTGACAAATCTGATAAATAGCAAAAAAGAATTAATCAGTAAAGAACAAAGGAGCAAAGGAACACAGAGTAAGAATAATGTGTTAGCTTATGGGAAATAAAAAAGTTGATTCCTTTTCTGTGCCATAAGTCTCCCTGTACAATCAGGTTCCTGCTGGTTCAGTGTGATGTCTTGGCATGTGCCAAGCAGAAAGTTCAAGGGGTTTGATTAACACTGAACTGAAGAGGACCCAGGAGAGGCTGGCAACAATCTCCTTGTTGATTGCCCTGGATAAAGAAGGGTTCACAAAGCCCAGCCGAGGAAGGGCTCATCCAGCCACAGAAAATCCTGATATCACAGGACAGCTTCAGCAGAGGTTCAGCTTTTTTTTCACTCCCAACTAGTTGAGACTTAGAGTTAGCTTCATGTAGCCAGTTCTGTTGGTACAGTGCTCCTGTGTCCCACCACATAGACCCACTGCCTCCCCTGGTAATCTGCTGTTCAACCATTTCATGTAGTGGAGACTTCTCCTGTGCCTCAGGGTTCTTGTTCACAAAAAGAACACTCCCTTCCAGGAGATGCTTGCTTGCCACATGTGGTGTTTGATTTTCTTTCTGCTGAGTCTCTGCTATCTCTGAGTGAAAGTCCCAGTCACCCAATAAAAGTCAATCACTACATTCACCCGGGAGCTCTGTGTCAAAGGGAGTTCTGCAGAAGTTCCTTTCCTTCATCAATAATTCAGTGAGATAAGCATTTGCAAGACAGTAGAAAAAGACAGCAGTTAGATGCTGTTAAGTTGTGTTTCCTCCAGACAGGAACAGAGAGGTTCTTCCAGCAGGGTTTGTCACGCTGGTTCTAAAGGCTCCAAGTGCCCCGAGCAGTCAGCTGTGTGTGTGCACTTTGGCTTTGCAAATGGGAATTGACTTTATAGCCAAGGAACTCGCCTTGCTGCCTGTCCTCCCAGAGCTGAAAGGTGTCTGCTTTCCCAAGAGCAAGAAGCAATAATGCTCAAAACTTTCTCCAGTTTTCAGTGAGCTCTTTGTTTGCCTCAGGCTGCTGTCAAAGAGCACTTTCTGCTTTGCTGTGAATTAATTTTACAGGGCTTTGGAGTGCTGAGCCATTCTAAATACAACCAATCAAGACTAATGCACCCCTTAATTTTGCTGCTCATACAGAATGAAGAGCCCGTGTTCTCCAGGGATGGTCGGAAGTTTTTCTTCGTGCGCGCCATTCCCCAGGGAGGCCGTGGGCACTTCTACCACATCGCCATGTCATCGTCACAGGTGATGCCTTACGTTTTAAGCTTTTCTGTTCTCCTTGAGTGTGCTTTTCTGTTGTGCTTGGGTGATGAAGGAAAAACAGTTCCTATTCCAGCTAAGAACTCAAGGACAATTTCTTCAAACTTCAGGCCCTAAGCATAAACAATGTGAAAAGAGGAGGGAGGGCAACCAAGCAAGCGAGGAGGATGACATTTCATTATTTGAGGCTATTAACTGGACAGTTGACTCCTGCATGCAAATGGACTAAAACCTATAAAGATGTGAGCTCTCATAACCAAGCTCTCTTTTGCTTCCATTTTGGAGCCATCCAGGCAGGGCCACAATTGGTACTGGCAGGGTGTGGCCTTGAAGAACTCTCAATAAATATCCATTTTATTCCCCTTAACTCTGTAGGCTCTGTTCCAGCTCCTCTAGGCATCAAGGTGACTCACTCACTGCTACTGCTCTGGCTCTCACCTGAGGCAAAAGCAATAAAAACTGCTGTCTGTGCTTGTAGCAGTGAGATGGGGAGGTTCAGATGCAAAAAAAAAGTCTTGTGCATAAAAGAAAACCTCCAACGATGCTTTATTTGGGCATAAGAATGTGAATTTCCAAATGAAATGCTTAGAAGAAAAAGGCCAGTCAACTGTCTCTTTCCAAATATTATTATTGCTTTGTTTTGGTTTGGTTTTTTAATGCCACCTTAGCTGTAGATAAGTAAATATCCACCCTGCCATAAAGGATTAAATAGAAACATGTGGGCACGTTGGATTAGAGGAAGGGATTTGAAATTGCTCTGTGCTGAATTCACCTCATTATCTTCAGTAGAGTCATGGTTAAGATGATTGACTGACTGTTATTTCTATGCCTGCAGATTCACAGAAATGGCAGGTGTAGTGATGGAAATTGCAGACTTTTGGTTTATTTTTAATTGGCAACAGAGCCAGAAGAGCTCCCTTTTTCAGAAGTTTTAACAATAAAGAAATCTACTTCTCTTTTCTTCCTGGCAGCCCAACAGCAGCAATGATGACTTACAGGCTATTACATCTGGAGACTGGGATGTGACAAAGATACTGGCATATGATGAAAAGAGGCAGAAAATGTAAGTAAACTTTGTCCTGACAAATCAGAGTTCCTTTGTTTAGCCCTGGGCTCTGGGTCAGTTACAAAGGTGTTGTGTATTCACTGAAACCTGTGAGCATGAGGAAATGGGGATGAGAAAGCAGGAGAAGCTGTCTCCGTTTTGGCTTAACCTCTCACACCATTACACATATCTTGTGTTATTTTTGTTTATCTCTACTGTTCAAACCTCTCTTTCTATGACTATTAAATAAATTTGTGCAGAGGAGTAATTTCTCCTGCTGCAACTTCTGATATTAGCCTCTGCAGGAAAGCAGCCTGTTTTCATCAACCACCTAGTCAGTTTTGGAAAGAATCCTTTGTCAAACTGCAAAAATACCAATGCAGTGGGAAAAAAAAAAAAAAATTTAGTCAGAATTAGAAAAAAAGGAAAAAAAAAACCCAAAATAAAAAAACCCCAAACCCACCCTTCTTCACACTTGCTCTTTATGCTTGTTAAACATCTTTTGTAAATATTCACTTTTTCAAATACACTTCAAGAAATTACATAAAAAAATACTTAGACAACTTTCTGAAATCAAATAACAGATTCCTTTCCAGAAAATTTTTCAAGTGGATACAAGGTTGTCACTGCTCACTTACTTAAGGTCACTGAACAGCTTAGTAAATAGTCTCTGAAATATAATAAACTTTGAGTGATCATTAAGAGCTCAGTGCTTCTTCAAGCTTTTGAATGCTCTCAAGTATCAATAACTTCAGAATAATATAAAATTATAGAAATATAGAATCATAAAATGGCTTGGGCTGGAAGATAAAGACCATCCAGCTCCAGGTCCCTGCCAATGGGCAGGGACACCTTCCAGTGGACCAGGTTGCCCATCACACCTGGCCTTGAACACTTCCAGGGGTGGTCTAAGTAGCAAACCAGCACCAAAGTCTTATTGGCATTTTGACTGGCCAGTCAAGCAGAAAATGCTACACACGATTTGTGCAATCAATGTGTGCCTAGGCAGCTTGCTGGGAGCAGATCAGCAGGGATGAAAATCCTTCCTGGCATTCTTCACCCCGTGGATGCTACATTTGCTCCTGTGTTCTAGCCTTACCCACACAAAATAATGCATCTGGGGGATTAATTCAGACTTCCCAGGTGGGACTGAGGTTGGCCACCTCCTGCAGCATCACTATCTCACCTCCAGAAGCTGCCACTGTACAACAGAGCCTGTTGTTGTTGTTTATCCAGAATGGAGCTCACCACAGTCCCAGCACAAAACAAGTACAACAAAATGTTCTTCAGATTCATGCTCTGCCTTCCCATCTAACCCTGATTAGGTGTCTAACTAGGCAAAGAAAAACCGTGGCCAGAGGAGTAAAAAACTTCCTCTAGAGAAGAAGAAAGGTCTTTAAAAGAAATTCTGAGCCATGAATCTTGAAGTAAAAAGGTGGATGTCTTCCAATTAACCACTTGATCCTTTTTGACCCACTGACATGACCAGTGTAGGACCCACAGTTTTCCATGCTTGTTTTAATTTCAATGCAGTCTGCAATGTACTGCTATTTACTTGAGCCTCTCAGTGGTGTCCCTCTGTATCCTTTTCTAGTTCAGTTTAAGCTTTCCTTGCTTTCACCAGATTGTGAAAATGGCAATATGAGTGAAGATGTTGTACGAGACGCTTCAAAACACCCTTCTAATGGTGCAATTCACTTTTGTTTTCCTCCTCCAGTTATTTCCACAGCACAGAAGATTCACCAAGAAGGAGACATTTATACAGGTATGTGCTTTAATAACCTCATATAAAGAATTTCCCATTTCTTCAGTTTTACACAAATCATAAGCAACTGCAGTAGAAGCAGTTTCTAAATTTTTTTTCTTTAATGGCATTGCAAGAGCTTTCAGTGTGTCACTGGAAGAGACAGAACAGTGTAACCATAGCAAAAACAAATGCTTGACACTTGGAAATGTTTTACGTTTAGTTATTTTCTCATATTAATGCAAATTTCAAATTGGTGTCAAGATTAACTATCACAAAACTTTCCAACAGAACTGCTTAGCACTTGAAGGAATTCAGAAATACATAAACTAATGGCATAAACTGTCTTAATACCTTCCAACAGAGATTTTGAGAGATTTGATAGTAGCTCACCTCTTCATGAAACGGAAAAGAATTAACAATATTTTGTGTCTACACACCGTTTTTCTGCAGTTCCAGAAGATTTTAGTCTTCCCTAAGTATATGATGAGTAAAAGGCTGGGTTTGCAGCAAGCTGTTGGTAGTGTTGCCATTGTGAAATATTGTGGAAGCAGATTACAAAGTGGAAGAAACACAAACTATATGGAATCATTATTCTATTTTTCCTTTTTTACTTCTCAGTCACCCTGCTGCCATCACAACATCTGCAATGAAGGGCAGAGTTGGTGAAGGCATCAGAGGATAAGGGACAGTCAGTACATTTTCCTTCTTTCACATGACATCATACCTTTTTTTTTTCTCAGTGGGAAAGAAACTAGAGCAAAGTAAATTACCTGTGATTGAATATTTTCAAGACTTATATGCCTGTTCACTGCACTCCACAGTTTTTTTGAGAGTTTTTATTTCCTTGAAAAAAATTCGTAAAATTATATTAACCCTTCATTTATATTGAAATGAGAAGAAAACCTCACTTCAAAAACAGAGTCCAGGCACAGTTTAAGAGCTGCTGGCATGTGTGAAAGCACTCCCCACTCTTCCTTGTCAGCATCCATCTCTCCCTGGTGCCTCATCAGCCTCATGTCCCCACTCAGACAACAGAGAAAGAGCAGATGAAAACCTGTTTAGGGCTTTATTCCCTCCTTTTTGTGTTTTATTTAGTAGATTTAATTAGGACTGTAGTCAGAGATAAAATCTGAGCCTAAACAAGAGCCCATGATCTACTCATTTCAGTCTGTGATCCTAAAAACATTGCTCAGCCTCATCTCTTGAAGTGGTAGCAAAAAAACCATTCATCTGCTTTACAGTAATACTGAAAAATCTCTGGGTTATTATTCTTGAAGTTTCAAAATGCTGTAGTGGGGCAAAATGCTTTCTATTAATATTTGCTAATAATCTGCAATTCTTCAACTTTCAGTGGACTCTCAGCAGCAAACTTGTGAGGACAGGCCACGTTTCCTCCTTCAACAACAGATCCCTATATACAATCTTTGTCCTTGAGGGTTATAAGAGCAGCTATTTAAACCTGTAAAAAGGGCTTTGGCCTCTGAGGCAGCAGCTAGCAAATCAGACCAGTGATGCAACCAATAAGAAACTTAAAGAAAGCAATTCCAGCTCTTTATTGTCTGTTATAATATAAATAAGTGTTGAAATTTTGCTCCTTTGTTTCATGCCTTCATCCACCAAATTATGACTTCCTCCTGGGGAATTGCAACCATCATTTTCTTTTAAAAACTGTACCTTTCTTCATAACCACCTGACCTTGCAAAATGACATCAGTATCCATTTATATATTCTCTATTCAAGCAGGAGGGGAAAAAAAATCCATTACTGCTATTTAAACTCAACCAAATGGAAATACTTTGTCTCTTACTAATGTTGGACACATTAGATTTATATTCTTGTTCTAAAGAAAGGTTCAAGTAATGTTGCTTTCAAATAACATTTGCTCAGTGACCTTCATGGAATTGTATTAACTTTTTCAGTGCAAGCACAAATGGGAACTTCAACAGGAGGTGCCTGTCCTGTGATCTGATTGAAAACTGTACTTATTTCAGTGCATCCTTCAGCCACAATCTGGAATACTTCCTCCTGACATGTGAAGGTATGTTGGGTTCTGCTACTGCAGTTGTTGTGCCTCAGGGGCAGGATTTAGAGCCAGCACTGATCTCTTCAGACATCCTGTGTACCTGTGGTCAGCTTTGAAAGATTGGCCACGAATATCTGGGTCACATTGCTTTTAAAGCTTTACTCTTGACATTTTTCTTTTCTTTTGTGTTTTTACTTGTAGCTAGAAAGGAAATATTTACAACCTTTTGCTGTGCATACATGCACAGAAGGTAGAGGGAGATTCCCTTAGCCACCACAAGCATCCTTAAAGGAAAATAACAGCAAAACCTGGAGGATATAAAACATCAGAAAATTTATGAGAGAGAAGCCAGCAAGGGGGGGTTGACTGTGGGTGACTGGAGCTAAGCTCCAGATACATCAAGCAATACTGTGAGCAGAGGGATTTAAAGTAAGTTACAACAAAAATTAGACAATTTGCCACGGAAAAGCAGGAGAAATGTGCCCAATGGACAGCGTGAGTACAGAATATCTGGAGCTTCCCCACTCATTCATCATAGACCTACTTTAACTTGCTAAAGTTAATAATCTGCAGGTCCAACAGGGATTTCCTGTTTTGAAAATGCCTGAGAGTATCCAAGAGGCTAAGGATGCATTTCAGGAGAAGGGTCATTTTCTCCAGCTCTGTTAAGACTAAATTCAGAACTCCACAAAACTTAAGCCTATATAATTTAATTCTGCTTAATTATCCAAAATTGCACACCAGTCATCTCCTCCCAGGATCGAAGCTGCTTAAATGGCTGCATGTCCTCTGAAAAAAGGCTTGAAAAGCATCAAGCAAACAAGAAATTCCTGATTTTCAACAGCTCAGGAGGGAAATGAGTAGGTTTTGAAGGGGTTTGAGGAAGGAATTCATTACTGTGAGCATGATGATGCCCTGGAACATGTTGCCCAGAAAAGTTATGGATGCCCCATCCCTGGAAGTGTTCAAGGCCAGGTTGGATGGGGCTCTGAGAAACCTGGGACAGTGGTGCCCATGGCAGGGGGACATCAGGGGTCTCTGTGCTGATGCAGGGGCTGCCCCTTCTCTGACTGCCAAGCTGCCCCCAGCTGTTTGTGGTGAACACAAGGGTAAAGAATAAATATTTGAGATGGCAACATGGGAAATAATCAATATAAAATGGAGAAGTAGAATGGTTACCACAGTATAAAATACAATACCTGGTCTAAATTGTAAATACATGGTTTTCCCCTGGAAGGGAATTATAGGCTGAATGTCAGAGGCATTTGGGGGTATTAAAAAATATATCTGGCAACACAGTACAGAAAAATAGCATTAATAGGGCAACACACTAATTAATTTAATGGACTCATTAACTTAATGGACTTGTAAATCTGAATTTATAGTTATGGCAGACATATGCAGAGAAGTGTCAATAAACATTCAGTTCTGTAGTAAATATTATATTTAGGAAGTTCCTCCCTTTAAAAGAAAAAAAAACTCATTTATTTTTCTTCTTCTTTTCATTTCAAGAACAGCTGTCAGGACCTACCAGAGATAGTGTCCATTTCTTTTGCACCAAGATAATTGTTTTACTGTAGTTAGAAGCATTTGTGAATAATGAGATTAGGGTTTCTAAAGGGCCTTATCAACAGTTATGAGGTGATTTGTTTTTGATTACATGATATCTTATCCACAAAAACCTGCAGTGATACCCGAAGAGATTAATGAGTTTTATTACTATGCACATTAATCCAGTACACAAGATAATGATTTTGCATAATAAACTGTGGACCTGTTTTCAGCTGCTGTAAACAATAACTCAATTATAAGGTCATTAGAGTTAGATATATTTACATCTGCTGAATATATCTTTGTCTGAATTTTCATTATTCAGGACTAAATCTTCAAATCTCACTGTAGCACAAATACAGCACAGCTTCATCTGCAGAGCTTGTCTCAGTGTCTCCATTCAGATACCTTTAAAAGATATGCATACATGAGAAATCTTGGTAGAATATCCATTTTCAGTGATTTTACAAAAATATCAGTCCATTTGCACTTGGTGGAGTTAATCCTTATTTACATGACTCAAAGTGAGAGGTCTTTCAACCTATTTGCTTTCAAGCAGTTTTCAGGAACCACATTTTTTTTGGCGTTTTTCATGTAGGATCCATCTAAGCTCAGATGTGTGCTATGGGTGCACTTGCAGCAGGGACAGCTCCCTTTGGTTCCTGTTGCAGCTGATGTGAGCCAGGTCAGTGGAAACCTCTGTTCTGGATGAAGTACAGATTTCTGCATAAAACTATCAGCCTTTGGACATAGAAATAGGTGTTGTGGTTTCATGGAGAATCACCTGGATCCACTAACAGAACAATTCCTTTTCCACAGCTCCTCAGACTGTTTGGCCACAGCTTGGCCGTGCCTCAGCTCCTCAGGGTGTTGGGTTATGGCTCACAAGCATTCATGCTCTAGTATAGTTTAGATTAACAGAAAATCTTATTTATTAGAACATAGAACACATAAAAGGAAAAGCTTCTTGAATAAGGATATATCAAGGCACCCTGCAGATCCTGTAGTTGATCAAGCAGATGGAGCAAGCCCACCAGGGTAAGCAAGAGTTTGTCTTACAATGTCTGCTCCCCAAAGGCTTCTGCCCAGAGTTCCCATCTCTGTTTGCCCCCCAAAAAATCCCCACAGTTGAAGCCAACGTTCAAGACCAGACAGTGGCAGACAGTACCTGTGGCTGTTTAGTGCTTTCTTCTCCATAGTATGTCTAACATGCATAAATTTGTATCCAAGCACCCAGAGCTCAGGTCTTGGTGTCTGCTCTGTGACTGTGACATTAAAATGTGTGTTCACAGTGATCACTGGTGTACCCTATGTCAGCCTCACATGTATCTTTGGGAGGTAGCTAAATTAAATTATTTTATTGTAATCAAGCCTGTAATAGGTTTAAAAATTGTATTTTCTCAGCTGTCCACAGAAAAAAAAGCATGGGCAAATGTCTATGGCTTGAAAACAATTTCTGTACTGACAGAGAATAACCTCCACCATACCTCAGTTTCACTCTGTCCTTTCCTTTGTGACCTTCTGTTGCAAATTTCATTGAGTTTAGAGCCACAGACATGCCTATGGCTCAGTTGAACTTCTCTGTAATGGATGGTAATGTTTGTAAGATTTGAGCAATCAATCAGTGCTTATAAAACACCCTGTGATACTTGAATGACAGACAAGGGAAAGGGAAAATATGTATCCTAAAAGAAGCCCAAAAAACCAGGAAAGGTCTGGCATCACTCATTTGATCCCAAAGGTCAAGAGCTGGAAATTTTCTATTCGTTTTTTTTTTTTTTTTGGTACTTTAAGAGCAACGTATAATTTCCTTAAAAGATTTTTTTTGCTGTCCTGCAGAATACATTTAACAGCTTTGCTACCTGGCTGTAATAGAAGGTTACCTCTCTTGAAAGAGGACAGTGTAATGCTTACTGTCAGGAGGCAACATTTATTGCAATCAGCCAGTCCCAGAAGGCTAGTTACCTTATTTTTCATCTAATTTTATATGCTCATGATTGAATTACTGTAGCAGGATCTAAGGAAACATGATGCTTTGCAGGCTGCTGTTAGATTATCTCCTCTAGACACGGTTGAAAAAGCAATAACTGCTCGACCAAGGTCACTCCTACTGTCATTTTCACCATAAAATATGGGTTTACACTTCTGCCTCTTCTCATAAACCAGCACAGGCACCTCCACTGATTCCCTCTAAGATAAACAGAAATAAAATCTGGATGGAAGTGGTTTGCTATTTCATACATAAATTTAATGGATTTTTCTCAACTGAAATGGGATGTAAATTTCAAGTTCATTGAGAAAAGGATAGGAAATTGCAAATTTTGGCTACAGGAAGCAATTTATTCCTGTTTCTTGAATGGGACTCAGACACACAGGGTGCAAGGCTGAATGATACAAGCCAATAACTCACTAAACACCATTTTTAGGTGATAGCTCCTTCTCTGAAGGATGAAGCCCTATCAATAACTACCACTGTAGTCAACTGTGCAGTGTTTTAGTATTTCCATTGTACATGGGTGAACTTTGTCTCCACTGACTCCTTCAGTCTCTCACCAGTGTAACCCACCAGTAAAACTCAACTCCTGATGAGGTTGTTCACAGGGAAAGCAAGGGAAGCAGCCCTTTATGTCACAGGACAATTGATACTCTGACACTCAGGTGCTTTGGCTGCAGTGTCTTCACTCTCATAAAAAAAAATCTGTGAAATCACAGAGAGTTTCAGTTGGACTCACAGAACTGGCAAATGTTTCCTGGAATCTGGAGTTCAAGTCCCTGATGTTGCAGACCTTGGGACTGTAGCATCCTTTATGTAAGTTGGTCCTTCTCCATCAACTGACCTCATCCATAAGCTCATCCTGGCCCTAGGGAGGTGTGATTTTCCCCAAAAAGGGTTAATGCCTTCTGGCTCTGAGGCAAGAGAAATAGAGGGGAAGACCCTGGCCTGTGCATACCTGTCTGCAATTAATGGCATTTAATACACAATGAAAATGGTGAGAGGAGGGCAGTGTTGTTGATGGGATGCCTACCAGCCTGCTAATTAAAGTTCTCAATAATCATGTGTTATCTAAAAGGGATTAATCATTTTTAGGGATGTCAAAAAGAAAATTGGAGGGGAGAGGACTGTAACGAGGGCTAAGGGAAGGTTTTTGTCTCATTCTTGGCATGGCTGCTGGTGATAGAGAAGTGCCGTGACCATACACTGTGTATTATTCTTCATTCAGGGACCAATTAGGGAAGAAAGAGCTTTCACTTTGAGGAGGGACAGCAGTGTAACTGAACAGGGAGCTATCTTCTTCTATAGCCTTCCCTCCTCTTCCCAGACACAGTAAGATTGTTTTGTTCCAAAATTCCATAAAACCACTGTTGTTTATCCTGTCTCTTTGAAGATTATCTCTGCTGGAAGCTGTGTCTGTGGCTGACTGGTAGCCTTTATTGTCAGTTTTGTGCAGGCCAAATGACTTTAA